ATCCCTATGGTGGAAAATATGGTAGACTGACATCAAACACTCAATTTTATGTATTTTCTTTCCCTTTCTGGTAATTAACTATCCGGTCCTCTCTCTTGTCCCTTCCCTCATTACTCAGAAACAAGTACGCCTTCCGCACTGAACCCTGCACAGACGTCCATCTGACCCTCCGACCAAATAAGATTGGGGTATTTGTGGACTTCGAGAAAGGACAGGTGCAGTATGGGAAACACATTTTTACATAGCTTGACTTCTTTTATCTTCTACCAAGCGAACAGAATATGATTAACATCAAGACCACCAGTCTCTTTCAGCTTGTTGTCAAATAATTCTGTATGTCCTCCTGCTTCTACAGGTGTCTTTCTACAACGTTGATGCAAAAATCCACATCTACACTTTCAATGACACTTTCAGTGAATGCATCTACCCGTTCTTCAGCCCCTGCGGTAATAAATCTGGAAAGAACGACGGGCCGCTGGTCATCACGCCAGTAAACATGACAGAGTAACAGAACAAGACTTGAAAGTTTTTTTTTTTTTTTTATTGCTTCTTCTCTTTTTAATATACCAAGTCATGCACCTTTTTAAATGAATAAATATTCGTTGTTGGCTTCTTAAACTTTCTGTTTGCACAGCTGGGACATTTTAATGTTGTATTTGAAATGATTTGCTGATTCTTTAATAAAACAATCACATGTTCTGATGTATCTGGACGTCTGTATTTCATGTTATTCTGTCAATGAAAGACTGAGCTTTAGAGGAATAGTTTCACTTACTACACAAATTTGAATTTATTGCAGAGAGTTAGAGAATTGATACCTAATGGAGACAACCATTTTTGAAATTGGTCCTGTATTGAGTCGTAGTGTTGCAGGCGGCAGCTGCAAAACAGGCTGCAATGTAATCCTTCAGGGCAATTGCGCTTTTCCGGTCTACCGCTGTCTTGATTGATTTTGTTTATTTGTGATTGTGTGACTTTGGTGTTTTAGCTCATATCCGTTTGTGTCCGTTTCTTATAGACACAAAAACATGGAAAAGCATGGTGCAGGTAAAAAAAAAAACCAAGTTTCCCTTTAATATGAAGCCAATGCTCTCAGCTGCAGTTCAATACTGTTAACACCAGGGGGAGATTTTCCAGCTTTTTCCAGACGGATGTTTGTGCCTCAGTGTGATGAGTCAGCATATTTTTTTTTTATTGCTAATAATAATTATACTTGTCATAACTTTTTATAAATGTCAATAAAACCCTCATTTACAGTGGGGTAAAGTAACACACAGAGGTCAATAAAGGACTGACAACATGTCAGTTGAAAGCGACATCATCGTCATTGCACTAGGAGGACATTTAGGCCTCAGTGAATAGTAGTAGTGAAGTTATGCAAAAGTACACACACACACACAGGATTCTATAGGAACATACATGAAGTGATTTGTTGAATCATGAATGAACCCTCACCCACTTTACTATTTGTGTCTACAGTAAATTGTGTCTTCATTTCCCTGTCACTTCCCTCTCCCTTAAAATACAGTACAAGCAGTGAAGCAATAAATCTTGCACAAACATATAAATGACACAGGTACGGTACTCAACCAGGACACGACACAACGCCCAAGTTGATTTAAGGTTAAACTATCTCTCACCAGCTCTCTCTGCTGGTTCCAACAAGCCCCAGATGACGGAAATAATCACAAAACAGGAGGAAAAGAAAGAAAAGAAACAGATGGTGGGACAAAGGGATGCAACAATTTAGAAAGTAGGGAAAGTAGTTTCATTCAGGGCATTACAGTGTCTTCAATGCAAAGTCAACCAAAAGCCATAGTTTACAATTTGCCTATTCATGCACCAACTGCCATAAACACTTCCTTGTATGAATATGAAACTGTTGCTAAGGAGGTGTATTTTTAACCTTATTACAATGATGATACATATGTTTTTTATATTTGTTTTCCCCCTTTGACTTCCTGATATTTTACATTACGAGGGGAAGAAGGCCGAGAGCGTTCATTCATTCAAGGATAAACTCAGTCACCTCCCCTGTTTGAGACACTCAAGGTGTGGAAAACATGTTGAGAGTCCGGTTTGGTGACATATTTAGTTTACACGATATTTCCTGTGCATCCTTGTGATTTATTTTATTATTATTTATATTATTAAATTATATTATTAATATGAATATTTAATATTTTATTAAGGAACATATGTTAGATGAATTATGTTTTTCTGTGTTATGTTTTTGATCTCTTTTTAACAGCATGTCTGATCATTGGTTTTTGCTTGTATCCATTCACCTCATATGTTGCCATACAAATAAAGTTATTATTATCATTATGATTAATATGATTATTATTCAGACACCATTACTCATACATTTAACTGAAAAGGACTCCAGGGAAAATCTGAATCAACATTAGGTGGAACCAGGAGGATTCAACAATAAAGCGAATAAGTATGTCACCGAACTGGACTCTCAATCTTTTAAACACCTTGACGTCACAAATGTCGCAAACAGTGGAGGTGACTGATTTAATCCTTGAATGACTAAAACGCCCTTAGTCTTACTCCCAAAATTATTTTTTTTCCTTCATAGCGTAAAAAAATATCAAGAAGTCTTCATGGTTTTCTTAGCAATAACAAAACATAATAAATAATGCCAACCAGGGAACCAACCTCCCTACTTTACAGTAGAGAGAGACATATTTATTAAGTGCACACTACTGGTTTACATAACTTATAACTAATTATAGCCAATACTACCACTATTGCTACTATTACTAGTAATAAATGTTTAGGAAACACCGTAATTGTGTCTTGGTCTTGTTTTAAAAGGCATAAGCTCCAATAAAAAGGCAGCGCACCACACTGGCACCCATAACCGGATGAACTTGTTTGAGTGCTGCAGGGCAAACATACACAACGACACAGCGCCATTATATTTGGCACAATAACCCACAAAGCAACCAGTACCAGCTCACACACTGGAATACCCAGGCTGCCTCAGTCTGTCTGTGGTCATCTGATGAAACACAACTTTGTTTTGGACAATGCACCATGTGATGGACTAAAAAAACCCAGCTGCTACAAGCAGAGTTTGTTTTACTGCAGTTGGTTTTCCCAGTCAGATTTACAAGTTATTATAGAAACTACAACCGACACACAGTCACTTTCTTCTCTCGTGACTTCAGCAAAGAGAAATAAAAACCACGTGCCTGACTTTCCTGCGTAGAATGCTTTCCCATGTGAATTTATCCTATTGTCTTTCATGTTTTGCATAGGTGAGGTTAAATTTAAGCAGACACATTTTCTCTTTCTCACTGTGTGTGTGTGTTCTTTATTACACTTTATAGTTGCCAAAAATCATATATTAACACTTCATCTGTAAATGATTGTATGAATGTCGGGTCAACAAATACTCAAAGACTTAATGTCTGCACCGTGATGGTGTACAGATTTTGTAAAAATATAAAACATTGTTTTTCCTAAAGATGATATGCAGGTCATCAAATTTCATGCTGACAAAATTAATTTAGGTTTGTTTTTTTTGCTATTAGCTGAGTTAGAGATCAATACCACTTATCTCTCATGTCTGTACACTTACTATAAAGCTATAAAGCCTTATAGCCAAGAGACTCTTGACTCTAAACATTAAAAAGAGTGGGAAACAGCTAGCCCTGCTCTGTCAAGTGTTTTGTGTTACTGCGGAGTTGTGTTGGTATGTATATTTAAAAAAAAAACACAGAAGACCAAGCCTTTCAACCATGTCTAACATCTTCATTGAAAAAAAAATTACTCACACGACAAAATTCCTCATGATATATAATTATTAAATAAAAAGAGTGAAATAAAAACACCGGAATGAGACAATCAAAAAGAAATCAACCAAACATTTCTGAGGAAGGTGAAAAAATGAATAATGGAAAATACAGCACAAAGAACACCTCATACATCACTGAATAGAGCACACACAGGTTATTATTCCACTGAGCTCCGTAGAGACCATCCCCATTGTTAAATTATAAACCAGCCAAAGATAAACTTCTCTATCAGGCCACCTACTAAACAGGCAGCGAGAGGCGTACAATCACAAAGTCAGCTCAGTGCTGCCTTCAGGCGCATTCTGTAAATATGAATGCACGTTTAAGAAATAGTTCCACATTTTAGCAAAACATTTTTATTCACTTTCTTGCTGAGAGTTAGACGAAAGGATCTACACCACTCACAGATCTGTTCATAAACAGAAGGCTACAGGTACACACACACACATAAGGGCGGCTGTGGCTCAGAGGCAGAGCGGGTCGTCCCCCAATCGGAAGGTGTTGGTTCGATCCGTTGGTTCGATCCCCGGCTCCTCCTGCCCACGTGTCGAATATCCTTGAGCAGATACTGACCCCTAATTGCGTAGATCGGTGTATAATGAGTTAGTTTCCCTGTCGATGGACTTTGCTTTGCTGTGTGAAAGGTGAATGTGGCACGTAGTTTTTTCTTTGAGTGGTCGGAAGAGCTAAAAAGGCGGCTATACAAGTACAGGTCCACCATTTACCAGGTAGCAGCTTAGCTTAGCTTCGCATAAAGAGTGGAAACGGGGGTAAACAGCTAGTCAGGCTCTGTCTTAAATAACAAAATCCACCTATCTGCACATCTAAAGCTCACTAATTAAACACATTATATGTTGTTTGTTTGGTTGAAAGAAAGCTGTGATTTTACTGGAAGTCACTGCTCCCAGACATATGCCGGTTTGGCATACAACCTCCCGTTATTTGTCGTTGTTCTCTCAAATTTTTGTACACATTAAACAAGAAAAATTTGTTAATTAGTCAGTGAGCTTCAGAGGTGCTGGCAGGCGGATTTTGGTATCTTTGGACAGAGCCAGGCTAGCTTTTTCCCGTTTTCAGTCTTTATGCTAAGCTAAGCTAACTGGCTGTGGGTTCATATTTACCGACATAACACATCTTCAACTCTTGGCAAGAAAACATATTTCCCAAAATATCAAACTATTGCTTTAAGGGCACATGAGAAATAAAAACGTACATACAGCATGACGGAACAGTTTTGTCGAGATGTGACATTTACCAGCAGAGAGAGTCCGTGAGACCTTTCAAAAGGTGATATATCTTACATATTTTGGACGCTCAACTTGTTATATTTTTGTTTGAAATGCTTCACTTTCTATATAAATATTTTTAAAAAATTATATCTAATAATTACACCTGTTTTCAGATTTGGGGCACCATTTGGTGTTATTTCCAAATGAAAACAAACCTTTTAATTCATGTTTTCTTTCCACCTTCTGGTTTGGTTGTTTTAGTGTTTTAAAAGACAAGAGTTGTCATTTCCAGTGTAGCGGTTTGGGTTTTGGTAGACATTTTATATCTTTATGCTCAACCTCAGCCTACAAGGAGAGTGCTACTTCATGCCCCGACTGTTAATGTACAATAACTTAACTTTAAAGTCCATTGTAGTATTTTCACAGCATTACTTAAATCTCTTCGTTTCATAAAATTAATAAGAGAATTTAAAAGAATCTCATATTTTGAAGTCACCAAAAAAGTTAATAACAGTAAAACCTGATTGTGTAAAATGCAGATCATTTTATTTCTGCTAACTCTACAATTACTTAAGTATCTCAAATAATAAATGTGCACTGTTTGATAACATCTGTCCTCTGTACATAAACTGCCCCCACTATTAAACTTCTTCATAAAGATCAGAAGTACTTAAAATTAGTGGCTGCAGCTGTCGATGCGGTCCTGCTTCATCTGCGACTTTGCTTTTTGTTTTTGCAGGAGGATATGTTCGGCAAACTCCCTCATGGCTCCCTTTCCCCCGAGACTGCGGCAGGTGTACTTGGCAGCATTAATGGCAACCACCGGAGCATCTCCGGGTACTGCGCTCAGACCCGCCAGGTTAAGACAGTTGACGTCGGGCTTATCGGTACCTGAGAGGGGAAGATATGGGAAGAGGTGGTCATTTAATGTCATTTACATAATAAAAACACATTGTATACTAGTCTATGTACTCTTGAGACACCGATAGCGGTGACTAACGCAGTTAAAGTTCTCTCTTTCACACCAACTGATAATTGCAGATGGATCTTTCATTACAGAGCTGAAATTATTTGTCAATCAATCGACATAAAATGCAAATAATCGTTTAACGTAATTTTTCAAGCACAAATACCCAACACTCTCTTGTTTCAGCTTTAAATTAAATCAAAATAGTTTCATTTTTTTATGGACCAAATGATGGTTGGTGATCCAAAATGAAAATATGAGGGTTAGGTGTATCCCTAAAGTGTTACAAAAATATTACTGGATTTCAGCTTTAGCAGACTTGCACAAACTAGTAAATTAAATATATTTTGTGTACGTGTTCTCTCTCTTGCTTTGTTGATATTGGTTTCCTGTATTTATGCTACGCTAAGCTAACTAGCCGCTAGCTGTAGCTTCTCATATTTGTAGCACATTATGTAGCTAACTCATATTTCCCCAAATGTTAGACTATTCCTTTAACTAGGGCTACAACTAACAATAATTGAATGACTAGCTAATTTGTTGATTATTTTTAATAATTTCAGTCCATAAAATGTCTTAAGATACTCAAAGATGTCCATCAGGGTGTCCCAGAGCCAACAGTAATGTCTTCAAATGGCTTTCTTTGCTCAAAAAACAGTTTGTTAGGATATAAAAGAAACTATATGAAGCTCACTCTCTCAGTTAAGAACCAGTAAACCAGTAAATTACATATACTAGAATAACCTAAATTGTTAAATTCAACATCAAGAACTTGTTACAGCACTGATCTTGACAGGGTTCGTCCCGCACTATATTCTTATAAATCCTTAAAGGCATAGCTGCTTTACCCATGTACGCCACGTCCTTCCACTGCAGATTCCTCTTCTCCACCATCGTCTTCAGATCATCCAGCGGCTCCTCTCCCACCTGGACCACCTGGCAGCCCGTCCTCTCGGCCAGTTTGTCGGCCAACGACTGGACCACGGGGTCCTGGCTGGAGGTCAACAGCACGACCTGGTGGAGCAACACAGAGGGTAGCGTGTGGCCGTACATGAGCCAATTCACCAATGCTTTTTAGACCCCAGACAAATCCCAACCTCCACTTCTTCTTTCTGCAGCATGCGGATGCCCATGGTGTCTCTGGTATTAAGAGACACCATCTCCTCTCCGGATGCGGTCAGAAAGATTCTTCCTTCCGTCAAGCACCCGGAAACATTACAGAACATCAGACGAACCACCTCCGGCGTGGCCCGACCGAAGTAGCCATACCTGAGGAAAAAAAAGGACAGATTAGATGAAAAAAAGAAGACGATGGACTCAACATATTTCAACTTTTTAATGCTCATTTCTGGCCCTGGATCAAGCATACCAGTAGGCAAACAAATTACTTTTTTCCTCCAAAATAGGGTTGAGCGTGTACTTATCTGAAACGAGTATCCACTACAGATGATGTATCCTCAGAGTAAAATCTTGTTTTCTAACAATAGATATATATAACTTTTATTTAAAAAAAAAAAAAACGTGTTCTGTGAACCCTTTTCTAATAAATATAACAACTTTTAATCAGCTAATCTTAAATTAGCTACTTCAGATTAGTCCCGCCCATGTCCTGTGTAAGCCCCGCCCATGTCCTGTGTAAGCCCCGCCCATTCTAAGTATGCAGATACAGAAAATGAGTTGGTTGAACAGATGCCAATATACATAATGGTATACCCGCTTATCCTTAACTTTTACAGTCGGGGAATGTAAGAACCCATTTATTCTACAACAATAATAAATAAAAATGTCCACTTTCCAGCCACAAAGAGCCACTGGAGAGGGGCTAAAGAGCTGCAGGTAGCCTACTCCTGGTCTAAGGATAGAGGGTGTCGTATGTTGTACAGATTATAAAGCCCTGGGAAGCAATACGTCACATAAGGTTAGGTAAATTAAACAAACAAAATGAGCATTTACATGAAAGCACTTGGAGCCTTTTATCAGACTGTCTACATCTGAAAAACAAAAGTTCAGAAAGAAGAAGTCCAGACAGGTAGAAGAGGAAAATGATTTCAAAAAAAGGAACAAGAGAGCCGTTGAAAGAGTGGGGAAACAAATGATCAACTCAAATGCTGCAGTAAGGGACTGTACTAAAATTACTGCTGTGTTGAGTTCGCTCCAGTGTTATTAATTTAACTATTTGATCACTACATTATAAATCTCACAAGGGAAGGCTGAAACAAAAAATAAATCTGGGGCAAGATAGAATAAAAAACCCTCTCCTGCTCCCCGACAACAGTCAGACAACCTTTCCTTCAAACTGTACCATCCTCCCCTAATAATTTTTGTACAGTCCCTAAACACTAACCGCCTAATTTGTGTGTTTATCTAACCTGAGAACCCTCTGTTCTGCCACAGGCCAGTCGATGTCCACATCTATGTCCACGCTGTACTCTGGCAGCATCTCATAGTAGGCCACCTTACCACCCTGGAGAGGACGGAAACAGAGATATAGCATAGAAATGTGAAAGCACACAAACAATGACAACAAACTGCCGCAGCCATAACCCAAACAATCAAAACAGAAAGTCAGTTACAGCTTTTTAAGTCAGAGAAAGAGCCTGCATGAATGCATGCTGCTCATTCACCACTGGTCACATGTACGTATTGTCACATGTGCTGTCTCGTGAGGCACACGATGAACCATACCGGCAAGTTTAGGAGAACCTAAAGAAGAATGGAACTTCTGACATACTACGACGCCTCGTGCTGCCAACGTACCTGCAGAAGTCCCTCCTTCATGATGAGGTCTGTGGTGGTGAAGTAAAAGGAGCCGTTCTCGCACAGCTCGCCGTCCCAGTCCTGGCGCCGCGGTCGGTTGAGAGGGTCCAGGTTAAGCGGCTTGGTAATCTCACCAGCTGGAAGGAGGCAGAGGTACATGCTACACTGAAACATCATTTTGCATCCGCGTTGTATTTACATGAAGAGGCTGAGTCGGCAGAAGAAATAGCGGAATAGGATTTTTCTTTTATGCAGCCTGTTTTTAAACGACATAACAAACAGAGGAACAATATCTCTAAAGCACAGTGAAATGGGTCTACTAGGGCTGCACAAAGATATTGCTGTGGTATTAACAAGGGGTGTCTTAATCTGATCCCAGTCATTTATTATTGAGTATCTGCCAATACCGAGTCCCAATCAAATACTTTTTTAGATAATACAGTGCCCAGTGCACACTTCGAGTCCATTAAAGTGACTAAAATCAATCTCTGGAGGGAGTTTCTCCGGCCAGTGTTTGGTGCTTTACCTGAGTTACCTGAATGAACGGTCTGCATTCTGCTGACTTTTCATTTCCGTCCTGTCTACACCTTTTGCGCACTTAATCTTACTGGCTTTTTGTTTGCACTTGCTTGAGTGTGGTTGTGTCTACAGCTCTCTCCCCCGAGCGCAGGCAGCAGCCCGGGCTGATCCTGCTGTCTCACCCACAGAGCTCAGAGTGGAGGACAGAAAAAGACAGCGCTGATGATGGATGCACTGTGCATGAATGCTTCATTGGTAAAACCAGCTAAAGGACAGGTGGCGTAAAAGACTGGATCGGAACGGTAAAGCTCAACACAGCCGATGATACCGATCAGTGTATAAAACGCCTTGATTGGCACGGAGACTGATCGTTGAGATCGGATCATCACTAGTATTCAGGGAAAAACAAGATTCTACAGCCACGCTAACAGCTCTGTTTTTCTATCGCATTATAGATAAATATATAAAGATTATAAGATCGCAGATGTGTCATCAATAGTGTTGCACAATGCACCGTCACCTGAATGCCACACTTAAGTTTCCCAAGGAAAACCTGCCATGTTTTGGTTCCAGGTGGTAGCATTTGTTAATAATCACTAATAATCAGGTTACTTACTCTCTCTCTGTCAGCTACAGCAGCTCTCTCTCTCTTTTCTCCCTACCTGACAAACACACCCCACATCTTTATCATCCTGAACTGGCACTTTATACTTCATTTGGTTTAATTTGGTGTAATAAAATATGTTTTTGTTCCAACGTTATGGTGGTGTGTCTCCTCTCTGTTGCGGGCCTAAGGGCTGGGTCATATTCATACTTATTGAGTGGCGTCAATGTTCTCCTCTACCACTCCTTTTCCCAAATGATTGAACTGTTTTTGCATTACATTAAATTTGGCTTCATTTACCTGCAACACAAATGTCTGACTGCTAAGAAATGAGCACAAAAAAATAGCTTGAGCCTTTATATTTTTGGATAAACTAATAATTCCCTTCTTAAATCGGGTAACTCACATCCTTTCTTGAACTCCTGCCAGCGGAACTGGTGTCTCCGGACCACCGCAAACACCGAATCAAAGCCATCCTCCAGGATCATCTTCAGGGCCCCTTTCAAGTGGAACGGATGGAGACACGGGGAGGTCGCCTGGATGTTACACAACACATCCACCTCTGCGAGAGACACAGTCAACACACTCAATGCTTTCAAATTAAACAGCTGCTTTGGTTCCATTTGGCAGCAAGACAGCGCTTTGTTACTCATCGAACAGGCACACCGTGGATATTACATCGTGGCAGTTGTAATATACAAGTCTGACTTCTTGTGGCAGTTCGGATTCCATCCAGGCGTGGGTTGTCATACCTGGGTTGAGCCTGAGAAACTCTTGGATGGTTTCCAGTGACGTGGAAGTGTCTCTGGAGACCTGAGCACTCCTGCGGTGCACCTTGGCACCCCAGGTTTTCGCCACCTTCTCAATGTCGGCGTGGTCTGTCGAGACCCACACGCTGGGAAAACAAAAGGTGTGTTATCGTTACTGTTTAGGGTTGAATCAATCAGCCAAACGGTTGCCCCGTAAATAAAGCTCAATGTGCTCTAGAAAAAAGCCTCTTGGACCCCTAAATTTGACTACTTTTTAAATTTTTTAACCATATCTGTATACTTAATATCTGTTTTTCTAACTCTAACTTAAACTCATCTTCTTACACCAAATGTCTAAATAACTTTAATGTGTCAGATACGACAGCAATTACAGCCGAAGCCAAGCTCTGTCACCGGTGTGTTAGTACCATCAGAATCAGAAATACTTTAATAATCCCAGGGGGGAAACTACTTCTGCTACAACTCCAGATCTACATACAACATATATACATACAACACAGAATATATTAAAAACATATATATATATATAAATATATCTATATACACAAGATAAATGTAAACACACATCTTAAGTGACATACTGACTGCAGGTCTGCCCTTAATGGGGCAGTAATGAAACTGAAAGGTCTGCACGCAGAGCTACAAATAACACTATAAAGTATATCAAATAAACACATATAAATACACCAAAGTATGCAAAGTATGTGTAGCTACCTGTCAAACATTTCGGAGTCCAGAGCAGCCCTCACCACCCACCCAATGAGAGGAACTCCGGCCAACATCTTGATGTTTTTCAGAGGGATCCCTTTGCTCCCACCTCTCGCCAGGACCAGTGCGGCTACGTGCCTCTTTCCAACCGGCCTGCCCTGCTTGCATGCCGGCAGTCCGTCCAGCAGTCCCTCGGCCCCGTGGACGACTCTCTTCCTGGCAGACATACCGACTCTGGAGCTTCTGTGGTTTGTTAGAGACGAGGGGAAGGTTGAGGTGGCAGCCAGGAGGAGAGACAGGCACTGTGGCTGCTTCTGCTTTTAATCTGGTGGAGGACTACAAAACCATCGTGCTATACTGCCACCTGCTGTGTCGGAGTTCTCAGATTCTGTCTATTAGAGCTGTTTGACACTTTACAATTGTATGTTTCACACTTATCAGCATCTTTATTATTATGTATAATATAATAATTATATCTATATTCAGGCTCTTATTATTTTATGTTATTATATATCTTTTTAGCTATTATATTTTATCTATTATATCTCTTAGGGCTCTTATTATCTATATTTATTATATCCTCTTTAGACTCTTATTATTTTATTTTATTACATCTCTTAGGCTCTTATTATATTTCTATGTTTTACTTTTTACTATATGTATATACCTATACATTCATTTCTATTGTATATAATGTGTTAGATATTGTATATAAGCACTATTTCTTTAACGTTGTGTGAGTGGAACAACTGTAACTGACAAATTGATTCGGATCTTCTTTTCTACTTTTACTTTTCCTACTTCTTACTCTAACTGATTTTTGATTTGTATAATAGTTCCTACCCTTGATGTCATTATTCCATATATTTTGCCATCTATCCATCTATAATAATATCAATATCAAGACTGTTACCTCATTGGTTCTGTTATATTACGATTGTACCATGTAATTATTGAATAGGTTCTTAAAAAGATCACTGTTCTATTGTACTACATACTGTATACTGTATGTCTTTAGTTGATCAACGGCGCCACCTTTTGGACATTAATAGCAAATGGGCTGTTTCTTACGACGGCCTGGAGGGATGATGGATGGAGAAATACCATATTTTGAAAAAGTGAAGCAGAGAAAATTATGACTGATGCACAGTAAACGTGTCAGATAACCATGCTTATATCTAAGTTTTTTCTTATTATCTTTTCTGCTTAATGTGATGTGTTCTTTATTAAATATAATATTTTACAGCAAACTGGAGTCACTTTGGATAAGGATGTTGCTGTATCAGGTTGGTCTGTGGACTGAGATGCAATTCTTCATAATTATATTAAAAAGGGAAAATCTGCTCTCCATATACAAAAATCAAATCATCAAGACTTAAATTGATCTTGATAATTGACTGTGAGCTCATAGAGTTTCTGTTTGTGATATTGCATTAAAATGAGCTTTATTTCAGAGTATCCTCCCTGTATCGCCTGTACTAATGTTGTCATATGTTTCAAAATAAAAGTCCTTCACTGTCCTCTCTGCCTTGTTTAACCAGAGATCAGTTGACCTTTGGAGTAGGGACACAAATTCGGGATGAGATCTGACACATACTCACACCTTATTGATACAGATGTCACTTGACCTTTGGTTACTTGTTTATTTCAGTTTATTTATTACTCTTTGCATACTGTCCATAACCTTTCTACATTACATTTTAACCAACATCCTCCAACCATCATAGCAAAACTTATGTCTTCTCAAAACATTATTAGTTATCAATGAATGTCATTTATTAATTTTTATAATTTGAGGAACATTACAGTTAATTTGCAAATTGTTTACATCAGAGCACATGAGGTTGTTTGTGTGTCGTCTCTTCCCACCCTGATAGCGTATTATACTTTATATTAGGAACCACGGCAAACATGAACTGAAAAAGTAGTTCCTGTATTGAAACTGCACATGTGGAATTAGGTGCTTTTGACTCATATTCTCACATGAATCAGTGAATGCAGCTTTACTTGGAAACTGAGTCTGTGTGCTGACATTTCCACTGCAGTACCTGACTGACATACTCTGCCTTGTAGCTTTAAAAGGTCTTGTTTTCTGGTTCTTTCTTACAGTTTATCTCGTGTCTGTTTCCTCATGAACTCGTTGACACTTTTTCTGCCCGTATCCTTCAATCAAAAGCTCCACCTAAATGTGCAACAACGAACACACACTACAACACATCAGCTCACAATCTGGCTATGTAGATAGCGTCTACTGGATTATTGCACACACGCACACACACACACACACACACACACACACACACACATAGGTATGCTACCTGACCAGCATTGCCACCCATTGCTGTGAAAACAAAGCCTATTAAAAATGCAGACCGACCTATTAGCGTGACATCGAAAGAGAATTCCAGAGAATCGAAAGTCACAAAACAGAATAAAGTATTTTTTACCTGTGCTGCAGTTGACTCATAGTGTAATTTAAGGTGCTTAGTTTTCATGACTCATTCTGAGCTGTGGTGTTATTGTGTCATCTCACACCATCATTAGATCAAAATGTTTAATCCGTCTGATACTTTATTTATGATACCATAAACTAAGCTGGCTCTTAAGCTGGAATTGTACTTCCTGCAAGGAGGCCGATGCAGGGATCCGCTAGGGTCCAAGTGACGTAAAGTTAGTCATCAGAGCAGCGTCGAACGGGATGAAAATATTCTGTTTTACTTTTAAACTTAAACGTTACGTAACAGCATTGTAGCTTTACAATGTATTTCCATTTACCACAGTCATGAGAAAACATGCTTTTATATAAATCAGGGAGCACAGTGAATGGAGTGGCGCCCCTTGGTGGGCCCGTCTTGCTGTAGACGCTCTGTAGATCTACTGCTCATGTGTGGACAGAAACAGAATTACACAGCTGTAGTATCCGCGGATGTCACTTTACGCGTCCGTTTGGGAGTATAATCAGGCCTTTGGTGTTTGTTTTTTAAGGGGGAACAGTGTGCATGGCTCTGCGCCATTGTGTCTTTTTTTCATACCACCACTAGGAGCTGCCAAAGTGGAACATTTACAAATCCCACACTTTAAACACAGTTTGACCAGTTCAGGTCAGCTGTTCTAAATTGCTGTGCAAGATGTAATAACTACCGATAACCATAGCAACAGCACTTCGAGCTTTATTACCAGTTAACTCTCACTGGTGAAAATGACCTAACTATGGGTTAAACTCACAGCAGACAAACTGCTTTTTGTGCTCAGCAGCCATGACATAAACACAATAATTCATCTAGAGGTCTCCTGATATAATGGAATTATTTGCGTCAAGCTCATCATTTTTACATATCAGGCAGCTCATAAAAAATTCAAATCTGTGTGTTCCTTTAACAGGAAAACATGGAGAGAAGGAGAAAGAGAAAGAAATAACAGTAATGTTGGAAGAGACCCGAGACGAGATGAAGCTGTTGATCAGGTTGCACCGGTGTAAAGTACACTTTGCTTCCCCTGTTCCTGTTGTCTCTCATCTGTCTCTCTGCAGCTGTATCTCTCTTTTAACTGACTTGAATCTGTCTGTTTACAGAAAAATAAGTAACACACTGATGTTTGAAGCTTTCCTGTCACTTACAGACGTCTCTGTAAGCAAAACATTCATCCAGACAGTGATGGAAAAAGTAAAAGTTGCAATACTACAGAAATACTCTGTTACAAGGATTAGGGTTAGACCTTAAATCACTGGAGTAAAAGCACAACAATGTTAGCATCCAAGTGCACTCAGTGGCTCATTTAGACTACAGGATATTGGCCTGTTGATTATAATTATTAATGCATTCATTTGCACATCACTGTAATGTTGCAGCTGGTAAAGGTGAGGCTAATGTTAATAACTTTATGTACTGCAATCTTAGTTTATCTTTAATAATACATTATGTTTTGATTATATTTTGCACCTTTAATCTGAATCTGCAAACTAAATAAAGTTATCAAATCAGTGTAGCGGTGTAGAAAGCACAACATTCACCTCTGAATTGTTTTTATCAGAAAATGGAAACACTGTTACCTCAAAACTGTACATGGATAAATGTATTTAGTTTTCCGCCACTGCGTCTAAAGACTGATTCAAGACAAGAAAGAGGGTTAAAGGTGATGTAACAAAAGGGACAACAATGTGGATGTCAGTTAGGAAGGGGCTGTAAAAAAAAAAAAAAAGTGGAGGGTAGCTCATCCGCCCAAACTACTCCGACAGCCCAGGCGGCATACCTTTCATTCATTCATCCTGCACCACCCCTCTCCTTCAGAGCTGCTCCGACTCCTCGTCCTCTGCTGCTCAGCCGGAGAGAGGAGTTAACAGCTGACAAAAGCTGCATGTGTTTTGTATTCTAAGTGTGTCCACTTTAGATGGCGGATTTTTGTTTATCTGCACATGCAAATGGAAAAACTTTGCAAGCGCACAGGAGCTCACTGAGGGACGCCTTCGCCATGAGGGAGCACGGAAGAAACAAATCTAAAGACGAGTAAACAGAAAGGGAGAGACGTTGAATGCTAAACAAAGAGGATGTATTTAACTCAACAATAAAAACAATGAGCGTGAATCTCTGCCGTTCCTACAGCTAAAGACATATTTGCTGTAGTTTAGATGTTAGAGTAGACGGCATATGCAAACAGTAACTGAAAATGAAACATCAACACATTCCTGCTCATGGCACTGATATCTTATTACATATGATCCGGATTAACAGAATTTAGTATCAGTTTATATGCTATGATTGACACTCTAAAACACTCTATGTGTCTTTAAACTTGGCACATGTGACTTACTTTTGATCTTTTCACACCATTCACACAGACTGGCCAAAATATGTGTATGCAAAAGACCAACGAGTACAGGAATTACATATTTTGGGGCCAAGAAACATAAAAGTCTGAAAAAACAAACAAATCTCCACTTGCAGAGTCTGACAACTATATAGTTAAATGCTGGAGAGCTAATATGACGGGCTGGTGATGGCGGCTCCACTGTTTCACAGAAGAAGTCCTTCTATAAGCGTAATTAGGGAGTTGTTTGTGTCATCTCATCCGTTTGGAGGGACAGTGCAGTTACACAAAACCAGAGTGGTTGAGATGTTTTTCTCAGCTGTGAAACTGAAACTTGGGATGAACCACTTATTGTATTGGGTTGTTGTTGTTGTTGTTGTTTTTTTCTTGTTAAATGTGAGGTGGATGGAAGGGCTGAAATAAAGCCTTATGGTAAAAAAAAAAAAGAAGTACATTCATTATAGAAAGGTGTGTGTACTTCTTTCTCCTCCTTTGTGTCATTAAGTTTAGGTTTCAGGTGTTTAAGGACCATTTAGGGGATGAGTGTGTGTGTGTGTG